TCTTGGGGGGGTATATACCGTACGATAGCTCCACGACCCTAATGGGGGCTCCAGCATTACGTTGTGAATCTAACCAATAAGTCAAGTCAAGAATAATAATCAAACTGGAGGAGTGAAAGCCACTCGATTGGTTGGAGAGGAACGAAAAGCCAGAATCGCTTGGTAAGCAGGCAGGCACCAACTCCCAGTTCTTTTCTCTTCTTTCTTTTTTAGAGGACAGAATGGAAAGCAATAGGTAGGTTGAATGATTTCCCCGACTTTGATTTTAGGATCAATTACAAGAGTGCCGCCCAAAATAAAAAATAGTGCATCTTTGTCTCTAGTGAGAATGTGAATAAAACAGGCGCTAGCTACAATTGCATTATTATGATGTCACCTAAAGCTTTATGAATCCTTTCTCTAGTCCAATTTCCATGACCATGGGAACAGTCATCAATAGATCTAATTGAACAAGGGATTGTGATGCCATCGCTGCCTTTAGAGGATCATCTCCCTTTCTTCTGGATAACTTCACTCTGCCCTCAAGCTTCGTTTGGTTCATCATGTGGACAATTCCTCCACATTCTTCTTGTCTGGAAATGCATGCTTTTATGGAGGGGTTGTTGGTACATTACAGGTTCAACCCTCACTCTCCCCCTTATGCTGTGCTCTACCTCTCCATGGGCTAGTTTCAAGTTCGATCATAGACGCAAGCAATATAGTATAGCAAGCCTGCCTTTCAAAACAAAAGGCTACTCCTTTCTTTGCAACTGGAATAGAGGGACTGCTACTTCTGAATCCGGGAAGTCCTTCTCAAAAGAGTCATCTAAGGCTTTTCGACTTCAATTTGCCTTTAAGTTGGCCAGTCTGCTTCTTCGAGTGAGGACTTGCTCGGCCCAGCTCAGTTCTCTCACTACCTGAAATCCGTATCTTATAATGGATCTGGGCATTTCCCTTAAGATCCAGCGCCTGCAGAAGTAAAGTGATAGGAGAAGCTGCTGGTGGGAAATCTCTATTCATCACACCCCTCTCATCCGAGCCTCCTGGAAAGACCCTTGGTCTCCAATCTGCAGATGAGGGGATTTCCCGAGTACTTTTTGACTTTAATGGTTTTGAGAAAACTTGTCTTCACTTCTAGTCATTCTAACCAACTCTCCACTTCTAGTCATCCAACCTCATTCTTGTGCTTTAAATTAAAGCCCTTTTCTTTGCCATTCTAGAATTGGTGTTGTGGATTTCTGGCAAGTGAGATCTGATGTGGACCAGTGCGTGAAAGCAATTACAACAAAAGCACCTAATGACAAATCCAATTAGGATATATAAAGAGAGCTAGGATTAGGCCCCCCGCGGTAGACTTTTTGGGCGCATTCCGCCAATAGGAACTGATCGACTAGAAAAGAGATATTGGGAATCCCTTTTTTTCATTCAATCATACTCTCTTATCCTCCGAGGGTGACTGAAACTCCCTTTCGAGCTACCTGCATTAGGTATTCTCATTCTAGCAGGGCCTATTCCTTTAACACCAGCTAGGGCATTAATCCCTAGAAATTCCTTAAGAAAAGGAGTCTTATACAGTACTGCTGCCATTTCCTTATCTCTTTTTCTTGAAAGAAAGCAACCTCACCATACTAGTCTTAGTCTCATGCTCCTATAAGTGAGAGAGAGTCTACTTTCTGCCTTACAAACTGTTTAGTCTGACCTTGCCGGAAGGAAGGATTTCGATCTTTGTTACCATTCCTTTTATTATTTAGCTTTCGATTAAGTGAGTGTTTGTTCGCTGAGACTCTGACTTAAATGCGAGTCTGTGACTGTCCTCTTTCTAACAAAGTCTTGTCTCTTGACCCAATGTCAGGTGATTGGCTAACCGTGCCTTAAAGGGTGTGTGTGTTCGACCATGACGCTCAACTTGTTATGGCGAGCAAATCTAGAGCTAAAGCTTCAAAGCGATCAGAAAAGCACTAACGCGACTATACCCAAACTTTAGTTGATGACTAGACTTAACTAGCGCTTACGTTCTAGCGGATTCGAGCAAAGAGAAGATAGTCTCAAAGAAGCCATTCGTAAACCTACAACTGACTTACTACTATCTTCTTAGAAGACATACTGGGAGACAGAAGGGAAAGAGGCTCTATTCAACCATTCTATCAAAGACTAGCTACCATATAAGAATAAAGAAGAGACTGATTAGCCTTATTGCTTGACCTCCTCTCTCTTAGCTAAATATGGGGTTATCAACATAGTAGTTCCCTCTTTCCCGGATGTCTTGCATCTAACCGTAGAAGTGTTTTTCATCCTTCCGTACACTTGTCTCTTCCATGTCCCTTCATCATTTTGGCATTAAGATAGGGAGAAAATTAATATAAAATTCATGCAAAATACAACCCTTAGGCATTCCTCCACATATTTTGCCATTTTGCATTGTATCGAGTACTTTTCAGGTCCTGACTTACCCGGGACCACTGGCACATGTTATGGTACTATTTTCTCACTTCAAATAAGTCTACATGGCATTGTATAACATGTCTAGAGAGGAAGTGATGCTCTTTCCTTGGTCTTCCTTTAAAATAATTAATAATATTTATTTTGGAGTGAATTTAACTGAATTCTTTCTACTGGCTCATGGCTCCGAGAATCTGTCTCTGGGTACCAATACTATTTATTCATCATGAAAAATTTCTCTAATTTTTTTTAAGTCAAAAGTAAACTTCTAGACAATTGACTTTGACTTTCTTGGATAGTGTGTAAATAGGCTTTAAATTCTATTAAAACCAATCTCTTTGCTTTCTGGGGATGAAATTATTTTTAAAACCTGTGATAATTCCTCAAGTATTTTCCCCCTATTTTTGTCCAATTATCTGAGGTCTCTTTATACTTTAAATAATTCATTTTCGATAATATTCAAAATCATTCAAACCTTAAGAATTGCACAAATTTCTTGCAGTGGCATTTTCATTATTTTTTTTGCCTCATACGGGCCTCTAAACCTTATTCCTATTTTCCTGGAATTTTCTGAAGTATTTAGGCCAACTTTCCATCACTGTCCTTTTTCGGCCTAAAACTTTGCAAAATTATGATTTTGCCCTTGGTTTGGCTTAACCTAAAATTTACCTCATTAGCGCCTCCAATATGATTATTGGCCTACATTCATTTCTATTTCTCATTCTTAGGCCTCGAGACTTCACTAGAGTCTCTAACTTTCTCTTTTCTTAATCCCACAAACTTTTCATTTATGATTTAATCCCTGGGGATCCCTCTGTCCCTCAAGAAATCTCTGGGACCTCTAGCCTCTGCCAAAAAGAGTTTAGTAGTCTGTCTATTTTAGGCTAATTCTAGTATTTCTGGGCTCAAAATTCGGGATGTGACATCAAGTGTATTCAAAACCTGTTAAAACATAGAAACTACAAGCATGAAAATTACCAAATCTCAAATAAGGAATTCTTTAAAAAAATGTGTTATTTGCAAATTAAGTGTAGTCAAAACTTGTTAAAGTGTAGAAAACAATCCTGATTTGAAATTTAGTAATTTTTAGTTTCTTTTTGCAAGATCTTGCCTTATAAAATTAAGGATTATATATTCAACCATCTTCGTTCACCCTTTTATGAACTTTTTTTAATATATGTTTAAACTACCTTAAATGATTTTAGGTTAAAAAAAAACCTACCTTAAATGATTATCTGCCATTTTTTTATTAATAAATGCTATGCCAACTTTTTCTAATTTGCAGTTATTATGAATATTGTGTGGGTGTGGGTGTATGTCTACACATCAATCTAGCTATTCTCCCATCCGTTGCCTTAATTTTGGAATGATTCATCGATAATTCAATTGAATTATTACATGTTCAAATTCTTAATATTGACTATACATGACTTAACTATATGCAAGGGAAAGAAAATAGTTATCTGATTCTTAATATAGATCTAATTAAAAAATTAATGTTGGTTCCATATGAAAGACCTATTTTATATATTTATTAATTTTTTCCTAAATTAACGCTATTGGTATTTCTTTAACAATAATTAAGTATAAGAGAGAGAAAGGAAATTAAGGAAGATACTTATGATGTTTTAGAAAAAAAAATTATATTAGTATTAACTAATTTAATTAATATCCTTAATTTACTTAAATTAATTAAGTTATATATTAAGGACGCGAAGAATAATAAGGCATGTTCAAATGTAATAATAGTGTGAGACACAAACATAGTAACTACAAATTAAATGTCAAAATTTTTCAACGATATACAATCAAATATTAATTTTGAGAATTAATAATCCAATAAACTTAGGGGTAGTTTGGATTACTTAACAAGTGCTTTTAAAAAACATTTTTTCACAAATCAAGACAAACTCCTCTATATATTTACTTCTTATACCGTAAAAATACTTTTAAAATCATAGTTTCGTTTCTACCTGAATAACCCTTTAATTTGATGTGATCGTAATTATAAATCATAATAATTAATAGATATTTCTTTTTGAAAATTAGAGAAGAAAAAAAATGAATTTCACTCTTTTTTTTGTTGGAAAAATTAATGTGTATGTCCATAAAATTTCACGTGATTTTTAATTGGGTTATTGTGAAAATTTTCATTAAGTCCTTATAATCTAACTTGATCTCTAATTAGATCTGTGAAGTTTTAGAGTTTATTAAAAACCAAATGAAACTTTAATGACCTGATAAAAAAAATGTAACGACCTTATTAAAATTAGGTAAAATTATAAGGATATAATAAAAAAGGAAAAACTTGCACGAGTCTAATTGAAAATCATGTGAAATTATATAATCTTGTAGATTAGTTTTTCCTAATTTTTATATGTGTGTATCCGTATGTGTATGTGTATGCGTGTGTCAATATATAAAATATATATATTTATATATATTCAGATATTTCTCGCGTGAAGAAATTTGGAATGAAAGAAAACCGTTGATATGGCGGGTTATGATATCTCGGTGAAGCTGCCTTGAATATTCCGTGACCTCCTTCATAACTATTTCTTTTCCATTCCGCGTCTTCTTTTTTTTTTTTTTTTTTTTCCCGTGCAATTTTTCTGTTGTCTTTCCAATTTCTTTCTCTTGTCCTCCCTTCAATCCTCAAGCCATGTCCATTGATAACAACGACCACCCCGCTTCTCCCTCCGACGGCGCTAGATCGGCATTGATCTTTCTTGGGACCGGGTGTTCTAGCATGGTCCCCAACCTGATGTGCCTGCTCCAGCCAGCAGATCCTCCCTGCACCGTCTGTTTTCAGGCATTGTCGGTCCCACCTGAGCGCAACCCTAATTACAGGTATTTTCCTCCGGCATCTGGGGAATGGTGGTGTACCGGTGTAGATTTGATTTGGTTTACATTCTTCAGGTTGAAACTATATTGCGTATTCATTCTCTCTTGTTTTCTGCGACGATTTCAGTGAATGAGATGGGACTAATAAGGTCTGGGTGCGAGGCATGGCATCTGTTTTTATTAGCCTTCTTTTGTTTTTGACTTTAGGAGGGAATGAATCATTTAACCACTTAACTATTACCTTAGAAGGCAATGTTTAGTACTGGAAATGCTTTCCATATGAGTTCTTGAGCAATGTGCAATGGGACAAAGCTTTGTTAATATTCAATGGGAGACTAAGCTTTATTATTAGTATCATTACTGTTGAATGGTATTTTCTTCCTTGTGCTTATTGCGAAGGACATGTTCTCTTGATGAGCCTTTGAGACTGTTTGGATACTGCAGGGATTTGAGAAAATGAATAGCATTTGATATTTGAGCGCCATTTGTACTTGTCGAAGCAATATTGGATTACATGATTTTGTGTTTCCATTGTATATACTGTGATTGCTGTTGTCCTGTTTCTCTATATACTTACCGTGAAATTTTGTTGGTGTTGTGGCTTTTTTAATTCTTTTTTGCCTTTGCAGGTGCAATACATCCCTTCTAATTGATTATTGCCAAAGTGATGGTAAACACAACTATATATTGATTGATGTTGGGAAGACATTTCGGGAGACAGTACTTAGATGGTTTACTTTCCATAAGATTCCAAGAATTGATTCTGTGAGTCAACCCTCTAAAACGTTTACTATTGATGGTTTTATTTTAATATTTCAATTGCAATTGGACACCAATCTAACCTTATATACCCACTGTTGAGATTCTTGTTATTAAACTCTGTTGAGGGCTTAGAATACACAAGTGATTTCAGCAGTTTCATGAGTTACGGATGATTCCTTGATATGCAGCAGCTAGTAAGTTCATTGTTTTTAGCACTGTACATACAATGTTGAAATATGATTTAATTACCTTTTTGAGGCTTAGAAACTAGCCTTTAAATTTCCACCTTGAAATACTGCAGTTCAAGGATCCAGATCTGATTATAAATAATCAAAATTATATGTAGCTTTGCGGCTTTGCCTTATAATTTTGTGGGTCAGTTTCCATTTTTTCTTCCCTGTTTGTGCCTCTCTCTTCCATTGTGCTTTGAAGTTGCAATTGATTTTGTTTAATGCTAAGGAGGGATGGTTGAAAAAATGTAAAAAATATTCAAATACCATGGTGTTTGATCATACACATAGCAGACAAAACCCAAGATTTTGGATAAGAAAAAGTATAAAAGATGCAAAATCATAGCAAATAATTCATGACTTTTTGGATGCCAAAAATTTTGTGCATATTGATCAAATCCAAACCCCTTTCAATAATAGGAAAGGATCTTATCGTTTTTCGTATCGGTATTTTTCTCAGGCATCTTTATTGCCTTTTGCTGCATCACACATTGAATTGTATGAATATGCTTCCCGGCCGTTGTGTACTTGCAACATGTCTATGAATAATTAGAATATGCCAATAATAATTGCAGATAAATTCCTTGATATGAAGTAGTAGCGCCAGTGAACTCAATGCCTCATTCTAGTCTTTTAAGGATTAGAGGTTGGTCCCTAGTTTTATATATTAATACCCTACAGGGTCAGGCATAGAGGAAGGGCATTAGACATAATCCTTTTTGTTGCAAGTAACTTTACTTTTTTGGGGCTTCATTTTCTTTTCTTCTTCCTCATCTCTTCATTGTTGGAGTTCTTTTCTCCATGATGTGTTGAAGCTTTGATTGGAATTTTTGTTCAATGACAAGCCTAGACACCTGGGCACAATCCCAAGCTATTGAAATTTTTATGGTGATTGGCCATTGATATGAGTATTAAATAAAATACAAAATTCAAATTCCATCAAAAAGGAATACAAAATTCAAAATTGTGATACAAAAAGGGGTCAGGAAATTTAAATCATTTGCAAACAAATCCATAACTAGTCAGATGCTGACAAATCTGCATCATTACTATCTGAAAATGGTAATTGCTATTGATGCTTATTGTTTAGAATTCAAAAGCAACTTGCCTTATCTATCTTATTTCTTGGTCGTTTTGTAATTGTCAAGCTGATCCTCATATTCTCTGAGAGTAAATTAATTTTTTTCATGAATGCAGATTATTTTGACTCATGAGCATGCTGATGCAGTCCTTGGATTGGATGACATACGTGCTGTACAGCCGTTTAGCCCAACAAATGATATTGATCCCACTCCCATATATTTAAGTCGTCACTCGATGGAGAGGTATCTCTAGTAACCTTTCCTCTTGTATATCTTTTATCTACTGAGAATATTACGACAACTTCCTCTGACTTAGGATTTAGATAAAGGAAGTTGTCGTAATACTGATCTTTCTTATCTACAGAGGATTTAGGGTTTAGTTCTTCTGAAATGGTGGTTGCTCATATTGTTCTTTGGAAATAGGAGCAACCACCATTCGTGTAAATATACTTTGCATTACTTGAGGTAAGAAGTTCTGATGTGGTACACTCATGCCGCTGGTTAAGCTTTTTGTTTTAATTTATAGATAACCACACCTCAATACTACTTGTCTTTTAACTCTTTTATATAAAGGATATTTACGGCCAGTTAACATATTAATTAGCAGTACTACTTGTCTTTTAACTCTTTAGAAATCAAAGGTAATCTGATTTTATAATTACGTGCAAAAAATCAGTCATATAAAATGGTCATGAAAGTTAAGTTTTTCTAACCGTGATCCAGTGTTGGATTGTTGCAGCTTTATTTCTCTATCAATGAGATTCATATGATATGGGTGCACTGACCAAACATGAAACTTTTATGTGTGTGATTGAATAATTGTTTGGCTATTATATATAACTTGTTTCAGCACTATATTTATCTCCATTTCATTTCCTTTTATGGCTGCTATGCTACATGGTAGTTGAATTCTTATGATGCGCGTTTTCAACAGTATAGCCCAGAAGTTTCCTTATTTGGTTCACAAGAAACAGAAGGAAGGGCAAGAAATAAGAAGAGTAGCTCAGATGGACTGGAATATAATTGGCGATGACTGCAAGCAACCATTTTATGCATCAGGCTTAAAATTCATTCCTCTACCAGTTAATAACCACAGATCTTTGACATTACCATAAGAATTCAGCGCTCCTGTACCATAAAGATTTACTTCTTTTCTGAATGTAGGTTATGCATGGAGAGGACTATATCTGTTTGGGCTTTCTTTTTGGTGAGAAAAACAAGGTGGCTTACATATCTGATGTTTCACGGATTCCTGCTAGCACAGAGTATGGTATGTGTTGAATCAGTTTTTCTCCTTTTCGGAAATGTATGTTTATTTGTCAGTTCTATCTCTTAAAGCTAGTCTTAAACTGCTGTGAGACCATTTAATAGATTGCTTTACAAAAGTTCGGAGTAAATATTTTACAAATCTTACAGTTATGGATCTTTTGATTTCAAGTAACTTTGACTCAACTTCTTGTTATGAGAAAAGATCTGCTGTTATTTTGCCAAGGAAGACGATGCATTAACTTAACTTCATTGTTAAGTTGAAATAAGCCAAATAGTTCATCTGAATCATATATCTACTTGCAATGCTATATAGACATCCATAATTCTGTCCATTACCGTAAATGGGTGTTTCTTTGTTTGTACTAATCGTTGGTTTTGTGATAGCATTATTAAAAGTGCTCACGGGTAATTCAGTTAAAAATTCTTGCATATTATATTTTACAGGAGAGAATTGTTTTACTTGCTTCTTTTTGGACTTCAATTATTGGTTTACTTGTTGAATAAGGTACAGTATTGTTGACTGTCTTTGAAGTTGAGCCAATATTCACATTCCTTAATAAAATGTCTGAATACAAAGACATCAAGATTTCCAAGTTACCTGTCGACTCTGAATGCCCTTTTTTCTTGGCTATCAACTCTTCAATTTCTTGTTTGAACTTACGTTGGTCACAATTGGTAGGTCATTAATGATTTTATGTGGCACTTCTTGACAGGTTATAAATAACAACAATAATCAGTGCTTTCTTTTTAAAAATAATAAAAGAAAAAACATAAAAAAAGAGAAAGTGAAACTGCCTGTAGCATGTGATTAATATGGAGAAACATGAAAGGAGTAAGTACATCAATGCAGTAAAGCAATCCAATTTCGCGTACAACTGTCAAAGGAACTCCCTAAAACCAGCGAGTGAAAACTTTAGATGGGATCTGTCCTCTTTCAGGTTTCAGGAACGTGCTAAATTTATAAAGCTATCAGAAAGTCCCTGCTGCAATGTGCTTTCTGACATTTGGCTATAAATGTTCTCTTTTTCAGTCATTTCAAAAACTGGAGCTGGGCAGTTGGATCTTCTTATACTGGACGCTCTGTACAAGGTCAATAATATTCATTTTCGATATATTTCAGAAATCATATATTGGAGATGTAATTGTTTAACACTCTGCTAAAGATATTGTGTTGTATCCATGCAAAGGACATAGATGCAATGGCAATCAAAATAAAACTAAATAATTTTTTTTAAAAAAAAAAATTATCGGTTGATATGTGACACTCAAAGATACGTTTGATGATCCTTGGAAGAGATAATTTAGCCATCTTGGAGTGGTCCACCAATAATACTTATTGGAAGAATTTGAAGTTTGTAGATTGTACCAGAATGAGCTGAGGCACCTGTGCTTAGATATCTGTTCATTAATAAGGAACTCGAATTTTTTTTTGCTTTAAAATTATTTATGGAGAAATAGGTATGCTTGCCATATTTGTTGTGCTATCAACCTTTTATGAACAATTCTTAATGATTTTCTGGACACTGATTTATTTCAGTCAGACACAGTCATTGTTATAACCTTTAGAATTTTCAAAAACAAGAACGATTTTCAGTTGATTAATATTTTGACACATCTTCATTGTGCCTTTTTTGAGTTCCTTATTGATGTTCTGCTGTGTTTTTTTCGCAGACTGGATCTCATAACGTGCACTTTTGCCTTCCGCAGGTTTGCATTGCATATTGAAACTGATGTTTATGCTTTTATTTGCCTGATTGTTAAATTTTATCAACCGATAATCATACAGGCTCTAGAAGCTGTGAAGAAATTATGTCCTAAGCAGACCCTATTAATTGGAATGACTCACGAGTTAGATTACTACAAGGACAATGAGTACTTGATGGAGTGGTCCAGAAGGTACATGATCTGGCTTTTTATCATAGTTTCCCTTCTGTAAATATAAAGTACTCCTCCGGTCCTTAATATAGGACTAATTCTTGAGTTGATTTTAGTCCTAAATATGAGACATATTTCTCATATTTATCAATTTTCTCTAAATTACCCCGATGGATACTCCCTCAACCATAATTAAGTAGAAGAGGGAGCGGGGTATTAAAAAAGATGATTATGGTGTTTTAGGAAAAATGTGTCACTTTTCTTATAATTAACTAATTTATCTAACTTTCTTAATCTAATCAAATTAGTTAAAGGTCTTATTATTAAGGACCGGAGGACTAATAACTTACATTCTCGTAGAGAATGGACCTTGAGTAATTTTAAGTGATCTGTCTTATTCTTTATATGTGATCAAATGAGAGAGTAACTTCGATGGTTGTGTTTAGGGAGGGAATTCCGGTTCAGCTTGCACGTGATGGTTTGAGAGTCCCCATAGACTTATAGTAAGTTGAGGCGATGCTTGTCGACCCGAACCTCAATTTCTTCACATCACATTAGGAATGGTTTACATAGATGAGAAGATTATGAACCAGAAGCTATGATCACTGACATGCATTTGTGGGATGTCTCACCCATTTTGGAATGGGTGGCTCTCCTAAATAAATAAACAAATTGGTGGCATACTATTACGTTTTTGCCTTTTTCTGTTTGATAATTGCGAGCTTAACGGCATGTTGCGGTTAACTTCGCTCTAGGGGTATCATTTATCAATTTGCCTTGTGTTGCCATTAACACAAGATGGAAAGCTCTCCTTTTCTTTATCCATATTCACATAGCAATAATAAGAAATATATTTCCATTTTTCTATTGCCTTTTTTCCCTTTATATTTTCATTACTATAAAGAAAGTTATTGAATGTGATCTTTTGATCAACAATATGTTTAAAGATTGATAGATCACAATGACACCATATAATTCCTGTAGCTGACCCCACTTAATTCTTGTTGTATCCTTTCATTACTATATTACAGAGTGCCCAATATGAGCTGGTTTACTAGCGGCTTGTGAATGATGTAATTTTATTTATTTATTTATTTTTGTGTATTTTAGGTTGATCTCTTGCTTGTGTGAATCTCTGCATTACGTAGCTTACGGTTTCCATGCGCACATTAGTTATTGTGGAATTGATGCTTCCCCAACACAAAAGATACAGACTTTCTCCCAGTTATGCTCGACAATACTCAAATTTAATATAGCTATATAAAAAAACAGACATTCACATGGGCTAAGGAAATCTGCTTTTTTTCCTCCTTAAAATTTGTCATCTAGAATCGTTGTTTCCCCAAAGGACCTGACCATCTAATTTTTCATCGAAGTTGGATGAATTAGAATCGATTTAATCTGGTTTAATATTTTATTCTCGATAGATGCATAATATGAAATAAAAATACTATCAGTAAAGATTGGTTTTATTGTAAAAATTGGCTCATATCAGATGAGGATATAGGTTCAAATTTCATAGCAGATGTGAGAGTATTATCGTTGAATAATTTATAGGCATATTTTTAGGGTATACAATTTTTTGTCTTTTAAATTTGTCATTATTTTATTCTTCGTTTCTCAAGTTTAAAAATATTAATGATCAATATCACTATTTTAATGGTTAATATTAGTTTTTTTTTAATGATATGGGGTAAAATTGTTATGGTTTAAAATTTTCAAAGCAAATTTGCAAAAAAAAAAAAAAAAATCATGTGTCCAATCAATGTTTTAAAAGCCGGACTGGACATATACCAGAAAGGCTGACGGGTGACAGTTCAAACTGTAATTAAATAAAAATAATATTTTATATATATATAAGATTAAAATGTTAAATAAATTAAAAATGAATGGTGGAAACAAAGAACAAGGCCTTTCCTCTCATTTAGCTCTTTAATCTCACCCTCCAAATTTAATCACGCATTAATACTAGAAAAAATATGATATGTTTATTTTAAAAGTAAAAAAACCTATATAATCTAAAATTTAAATAATAATAATAATATAAAATAATGAATAAATAAAATATATCAATTAAATATACGTTAATAAAAAAAATAAAATTTAAAAAAGGCCTTGACATTTTACAAAATGTCAGATGAATTCATCTTCATCTCCTTTGTTCACACGTATTCAATGGCTTGAGTCATATCTCCTTGCATCTTTCTTCATTCTTCCCTTCGTTGTAGGCAACTCTCAAGTCTGAGGTTTGAAACTTCTTTCTCTATCGTCGCAACCTTCAAAATACCATGAAAGAAGGGAAAGAAAACTGATCAATTGGTGGGGTTTTAATTATTCTTGTTATTTGTTTTTCCCATCTTCTTCCTTATCTGTGTCCTTTCTTTCTTCTTCATCATTCTTGTTTCGACTTGTGAGGGAAGCCGTAGAAAAAGAGAGAATGGAATGGTGACCTTCAAACCGTTCGGTTTTTCTAAAACCTGGCCCAATGTTTTTAGGTGAAAACTTTCAAAATAAATTTTTACCTTAACTCTTAATAAAAACTTTGAATCATTTTACCCCTTAAAAAATCAAAACCTATAATTTAAAATTTAAGAGATTAAAATAAAAATTTGGGTAAACTTGATGACATATTAACCCTTTTGCAATAAAGTCCCACCTAAAGGAATTAAATATAAAAATATTTCTTGAAATCATCAAATTATTCTGAAGTTTCAATGGACCTCATTGTGAAAAAAAATTATTTGTTTAATTATCAAATTGCCCCTTTTTTTTTTAAGTTTGTATTGATAACTAAAAGAGTGGTCGTTGACAACTTAAAGTGTAAAGATTAACAACTGTCATGACAAGTATTAACAATACATTTTTTTAGTACATCAGTAATTTAATATATGAGTTGTCAATACCTGCCGCTGTTGTTGTTAATTCTTATACTTTAAATTGTCAACGACTGCTCTTTCAGTTGTCAATGCAAACTTAAAAAAAAAGACAATTTGGTAATTAAACAAATAAATTCTCTTGTAATGATGTCTCTTAAGACTTTAGAATAATTTGATGATTTTAAGAAACTTTTTTGTATTTAATTCTTATATGGGACTTTGTTGCAATTTTTTTTTCCTCAATCAGTGATCGTGGAGTCATATCTTAGAATTATAGCGATCCCCTTGAACCTACCAGCCCAAACCTTTTTTTGAAAGCACAGATGGTATTAAGTTCTATCCTTTTTTTTTCTGTAAAAAAAATGAAATTATCTCTTAAAACATTGAGAATTAACATCTTCAGAATTGAACGGCTCTAGTCTTATCCTCCTCCTGTGTGTTTAATGCAGAATTTAATTTAAGAGTTGATATTAGTTTTATATGTAAGATCTATTTCACATGTTTATCAATTTTTTTCAAATTAATCTTATTGATTTTTTTCAACAATAATCAAATAGGAGAAGGAGAAAAGAAATTATAGAAGATGATTAATGTGTTTTAGAAAAAAACATATCATATTAACTAATTTAACTAACATACTTAGTCTACTAAATTAGTTAATTAAATCTTATATTAAAGATCAAATGAATAATTAAAAAAAGAGAATTACAATAAAGTCTAAAAAAAATATAATTACAAAAAAATCTCAAAAACAAGTTAGAAATTATTATTTTCTACTGTAAAATTATTATTACAATATGTTTAATTGTTATTGATATTTTTTAGTAATTAAGTTGCTTGGTCGAGACTTCGTTGCCAGCGTCTCAATAAAAAAATGGTGAGATGTTCATATCCAAAGATAAGACAAACAACTTTAGCAATTGGATGTTTGAAATGAGCAATGGAATTTAATTCGTACACGAGTCTCCGGTCATTGGTTCCTTCACCATCTATTGATTTGGAAGACAATAATTCTTTTAACAAAGATCAAATATTCTTTGACCAGATGAAAAGAGTAATGATAATAAAGAAAATCAACTATTTATTAAATGAGTCATCTTTATTCCCCTCAATTAATATTAATGTCTCTTACATCTCTAATGAATTATTTTCGTTAAATCCGAAAACCTACATTGATTTGAATTCAATCACAATTTTAATAGACGTTAATTAGACAAATAAATTTAGAATGATGAAAATCCGAAGCATTCAAAATAACAACAAATCCTTTTAAAAAAAGATAGTTAAATAACTCAAATTTTTATTTAAACTATTAAATTTGTCAACTTTCCAACCAAGTCACATGATCCCAAAAAAAAAAGCGCCAAAAGAGAATAATTTTAAAAACATATTTTTTTGGGAAAATGACATTAAGGTCCCACACAAGCAAACATACAGCAAAAAGGTCCCCTGAAATGTGATAATTCTTCTGAAGTCCCAAAGGGACTTGGCTGCCATTTTCAGAAAGTTAAAATGACTTCCTTGCCCTAGCATATCAGAGACAGAAGGTGCTGAGGTGTGGCTCTGTTATAGCTGGGAGAGAGGACATGGAGAAAGAAGGAAGGAGCTATTGATAATGAAGTATCTTTCTCATTACCATTAGTGAAGTCCAAAGAGGTTCCATTTGAATCTTCACAAATCTTCACGTCTGGAAATTTCTTTCCTCTCCTCTCCTGAAATATTTTTCTTGACAGATTGATTGTGTTTGGAAATGAGAAATCAGAAAATCGTTTTTATCTTTGGTATTGTAAAGTTTTTGTTTTTGATCTAAGATGAACAAGTAAATCAATGGAAAAACTGTATTTTTGGTTGGTGTGTGTTGATGATTTAACTTGGGTGTGTAGGATGACCATGGGTGCTCTATTTTTGGATTGCTTGTGGGTGGTCTTGCTCTGTTCTAACGCTAGTTTAGGGGCAAAGGAAGAAAAAGATGAAGGTTAGTCTGGGTAGAAACCCTTAGCACGAAATGGGATATTGTGTTGTCAATTAGGCCGCGATAGTTATCAATGTGTGCCACGATAGTTGTCAACGTAACTCCTTGACTTGTCAATGACAGTTACGTGATTCTTGATGCAGGTTTAAATTAGTGATGGCGAGTACGTCTGGAAAGCATCTATTTTGCTTTGTTCACATAGGGAAAAAGTTTATAAATGATGGAGAAGATGATATGAGATATGTGGGAGGTAGTGTAAGAACAACAAATATAAAAGATGGCACAAGTTATGAAAAATTGAAGAAAATTATATCATTAATTGCCGGAGAAAAAAGTAACTCATTTCTTTTGAAATTCTCAGTTCTGTATAGCTCAACAGCACTTAGCGTAGAAATTAACAACCTGAGTTATCCAAAATAACAATTAATATAACAGGAGTTAATGACAAGTGATATTAACAATTTCATAACAAATAAATGTGTGAATATTAACAATTGATATTCAAAATTTTTATAACTGAACGTGTCATTTATTTATAATGTTAAGTAATATTTGCATTAAAATATAATTATTAAGAAGAAGGTGTTACTCAAATTTATATTCAATTGATAAGGGACAGTGCCTTCATTAACAAGTCACAGTGCTCCATTGGCAAGTCACAGTGCCACCATTAACAAGTTATAATGCCACCATTGACAAGTCAGTGTGCCACTATTAACAACTGATAATTCGTCACGGCGTCTGACCATATCCGCCGCGGCTCCCCCATCTGTTCCAAGGAGTTGTCATTCTGTGTAAGGCGCCGCGGCTCCTGATCATATCCGCCGCAGCACCCAACCCTTTTAAGAAGTTATTCGATGAACAATAAGTCACAGTGCTACCATTGACAAGTCAGTGTGCCACCATTAACAAGTCATAGTGTCACCATTGACAAGTCAGTGTGCCACCATTGACAAGTCATAGTGCCACCACTGACAAGTCAGTGTGCTACCATTGACAACTGATAATTCGCCGCGGCGTCTGACCATATCTGTCGCGACTCCCCCATATGTCCCAAGTAGTTGTCATTCTGTGCAAGGCGCCATGGCTCCTGATCATATTCGCCGCGGCATCCAACCGTTTTAAGAAGTTATTCGGCAAACAACAAGTCACAGTACTACCATTGATAAGTCAGTGTGCCACTACTGATAAGTCATAATACCACTATTGACAAGTTATAGTACTACCATTGACAAGTCACAGTGCGACCATTCATAAGTCATAATGTCACCATTGATACTTCATTAATAATGATTATATATGACAATATAACCAAAATATAATATGATAAAGTAATTGAAAATATCATATGATACTAAAACAGATTAAATAACTTGAAATCATATTGTTGACAACTTATATCAGCAAATTAATTGACAAGTCACAGTGCTCTAGTGACAAGTCATAACAGGTCTAATGACAATACAGGGTGCAGGTAATGACAACTGAAATGATAGCAGAATCTAATATGCCAATTCATAGCCAACTTTCATTTGTACCTTCATATACATAAAACTACACTTATTTCACAATCTATCCCAAAAAAACATAGGGGTTGCATATAATTACAAATCTAACTATTGGTGTGTATCCATTTACAAAAAATTCCCTTCACACAACTGATAATTTCAGAAGAAATGAGTTGCTTTCTTTTCCAGCAATTGATGATATAATTTCTTTCAATTCTTCATAACTTGTGCCCTCCTTTACATTGGTTGTTCTTACACTACCTCCCACATATCTCATATCATCTTCTCCATCATTTATAAACTTTCCCCCTATGTGAACAAAGCAAAATAGATGTTTTCCAGACGTACTCGCCATCAGTAACTTAAACCTGCATCAAGAAGCACGCAACTGTCATTGACAACTTAAGGAGCTACATTGACAAGTGTCGTGGCACACATTGACAACAATCACAGCCTGATTGACAACATAATCCCATTTCGTGCTAAAGGCTTCTACCCTCACTAACTTTCATCTTTTTCTTCCTTTGCCACTAAACTAACGTCAGAACAGAGGAAAACCACCCAAAAACAACCCAAAACCAAATCACCCATGATCATTCTACACACCCCCAACTTAAATCACAATACACACCAACCAAAAACACAGCTTTTCCATTCATTAACTTCTGAATCCTAAACCAAAAACAAAAGCTTTGAAATACCAAAGGCAAAAACGATTTTTTGATTCCCATTCCTAAACAAATGCACAATCTGTCAAGAAAGGTAGGAGAAGAGAGAAAAGAAAGGTTCACACCTGAAGATTTGTCATATTCCTTGCATTTACAAAAACTTCAACATCTTCTTCACCCATGAAAATCCTCGCATTTACAAAAGCTTCACCATGATAATTTTGCGCAGGAAATCCTCACCCAAAGAACTTCTCCCATCTTTTTTTCTGATGGCAGGGGCAGGGCAAAAGAGTAATTTGTGGATTCTGAAAATTACATCTAAGTCCCTTTGGGACTTCAAAATAATTATGAGATTTCAGGGGACCTATTTGATGTATTTTCTTCTTCATGGGACCTCAATGTCATTTTCTCCATTTTTTTTGTAATTAACACGTTTTAATTCTAAAATAATAACTTTCTGTCAAGATGAAATTATCAAAATTAAGGAAAGAAAATTTGATGTAAAAACAAACTCATTGTTGACTTTTTGATCGTTTTTCTGACTTTATAATAGTATACGGTTAGATATCAAGTTTCTTTTTTTTAAAGATTTTATGCTGCAGGAATGATAGGAAATCCTTGTTTTTATAGGTTTCTAATAAAAAAGGCATTAGAATCATTTAATAAAATTTTAAAATTCTAAATAGAAATTTGGTTTATTTAATTGTGTTTATTGAATTTTCCTTTTTGGAAAAACTTAACATCTACGAATAAAGATCAAAGGGAAGGGAAGTTTCTTAGAAGCAAACAAAATGGAGCGAGTCTCAGTCAAGGAACGAGGTAGTCTTTTCAAAGTCTTCTCCATTTGTAAAATATTATTTGGTCGTTTACTGAAACAAACAACACATACCGCACGAAAAGAAGCTTAATTTCTCTGCTCAAATTCAATATTTGATAAGATTCAAGAAAGCAACTTTTTATGAGAAGAAGGGATCGTTGGTCGAAGCTTCTCGTAAGCGCGTTTTATGACTGCCTTTCTTCTCATATTTGAATTCTCTTTTGTTAGTTTCATATAGGCGAAAACCCGCATGAAGAACAGAACAAAAACAAAACCAACAAAAAAATCATGGCTTGCTATGTCCCCTTCAACGGCAAAAATTTCGACTTAAGTTTTTTCGTCTTCAAGCCAACAGTTGTTATCGTCGAAAATCTTGTTCATGGTCTCAAGCAGTTCTCCTCACAAACTGAAAGCCTCGGTTGTTTGCAAAGTTCTATATTCAGAAGCATCCATGGAAACCTCGTAAGATTTTTATGTCTTTAGTGATTTGTTGAAGTAAGGGCGGAGCCAGAATTTAGTTGTCAGGATCAGAAGTTTGTATTCTTTTAAGCTTAGTATGCTTATTGGCACTGATGATTCTTATAGTTATTATCAAGGAAGGCAACAAAACTTGCGTATTGTTTCTTCTATTCTACTCTGTTTTCCTTTGACAAACAAGAAACATAAAAGATTCAGACTCTTCCTGATCATTTCTGTTCTTTAAATATTTTATGATCCTAAACGTAGGATTTAATAAATGCGTGTTAGTTTTCTAAAATATCCCTTTAATCAATTTGAATTGGAAACCACAAAACCCCTTTTAGCATGTGTAGTCAATAGGATTGTTTAAGAAATGAATTATAAATTTGTGAGAGAAAATAGATTGAAGTCTTGCATTAAGATTAAAAAAAAAAAAGACCTCAACTAGTTCCTACATTTAGGATTGGAAGGAGTGTGTGTGTATATATATATATATATATCTATTGATGTTATGGCTTTACTATACTTGTCCTGTAATGACAGATCATATGGTATGGAGCATGGCAGAAGCGGTCTAGCAAAAAGAAAGAGCAATTGACGGAAACTCTTGTAAGAGCAAAAACCGCTTCAGTCACTTCTTTATCTTCTTTCTTGCATCATTTTACAGTATTTTGCTATTACTTCAACAGTAATGTCTGTAGACAACATAATTAAAATATCAAGTTGAAAGTGGATGGATTGGAAACAGGAGACTTAATCTCAACTTTGAGTTTTATAAATGAAAAATATCATGCAGAAAAATGTTTCCCCATTTTGGATCCAACGTGACTCAAATCCAATTGGGTAGTATTGAGAGAGTACTGAATAGTTTTTTCACTGAAAAAAAGACATATCTGATTGGACTTGAATGATGCTTGCATAGGAGACTATGTGACATAATTGTTCCAGGGTAAAAGATTTTCAAGCAGGAACAAAAAAGAAAATAACTTTTGTGAAACCATTCCCTGAACAAAGATTTTTATGTCCTAAGCTTATAGAATTAAGAAGAGTGAGCCCACAATTTAGGCCAAAAATTCTAAATGATCATGTCTTGTGTGTTGATCTTCAAGGAATAGCATCCTTCAGCTGCATAACTGACTCTCTCTCTCTCTCTCTCTATATATATATATCAGCAACAGTGATAATTTTACCTTGTTTCTTGGTCAGTTATCAATGCTAAAATGTGTATCAGGCATGGGAGTGTTAGTAGAACATAGCTTCCTTGATTCCTATGCTGGTGAATCAAGAGATGGTTCCTCTGCTGCAAAATTATGCAGTGGTGATATAATCTCCATGAACTCAGCATCCACCACCAGCAAGGACCTGAGTGACTTGTGCTATGCCGTGCTAGCGCTCTTCCGGTCGCGGTTTGCAAAAATAGAAGGCATAGCTTCAGGGCTATGTTTGAGAGGCCAAAGCATGCCCAGAGTTATATGCATTCATGTGTGGAAATCTCTCCAGTTTTACTACTCTTGGATTCTCAACTTTGATCACAGAAAATGGATGCTTCCTTACCTTGAACGTTTCTCTACTTTTGATATAAAATATGATGTTTATAGAGTTGTTTATGTCAGTGGTGACATTAATGGTGCCGATCTTCAAGGTTCGCCTTCTTCTTCTTCTCAACATCATCAGATGTTAGAGAATAATGCAGAAGGAAGCTTCACTGACAAGAATACCAGACTTGATGCTAAGACTTGTTGAACTTCCAGCCTTCTTATATGCTGCTTCTCTGATCTGCCTTGTAAATGATGTATATCAGTTTTGTACTCTCTTGAGAATATTATGAATATTTATATTAAAGTCAATCACGCCTACTTTTTTGAATAAAAGAAATAAAAAATTAACTTGGGCATAATAATCTGAATTGAAAATTTGGTTTGTCTGATAATGTATTGCAGTATATTGTTTGAGCACCTTCTCAAATGTGTGCATTATGTTAGAAAGACAGAGCATATCTGTATGTCTATTTTACAGTAACGATTGCAGTAGTCAATTTTCTGATGTAATGGATGAAAACTTTAATCATAGACAAAATCAAAATCCTAATGACAATCCTTCATCCTAAAGGATTTTGGGGTACCCCTAAATTTCGTTTGCTCGGTTGGATTGGCCACACGAAGTTGAAGCATCATTAGACTCTGATCATGTTGCACAACAAATTCACTGTAGAGGAAGAAGAGACTATGAGAAGGGAAGAGGAAGTCAGGAGGTTTGTTCACAGCACAAACCCAATTCCTTAACTCATATATTCTCGTAACCCTTCTCACCACTTAATTTAAACAAAGAAGGTATGTCACAGATGTTGGCCCATATTTTTTCTTATTCTCCTTAGAGCCCCATTTGTATTGGGGTTGGGCTTTAATCCGCTAAAGGTAAACTAAGCATGACCGAACAAATTAATTATAGAAAAAAAATTCAATTACACAAGTCAAAATATACCAGACCACGATAAGTAACTACTCTCACCAATCGTATTTATAATTTTCAAGTTTAGGAATAGATGTGATCCATTTTATAAGTTTTAATTTGGGTTTGTCTTGACATTTAATTATTCATTTTTTTTCCCTTCATCATACTTTCTCTTATCCATTTCCTCACACATTCTCTTTCACTCTTTTTCTTATTTTTTAGGGATAATCAATCCACAGCTCCTTATAGTTTCAACTAATTTTGAATCAGGTCCTTATAGTTTTTTTTTATCAGGTCCTTATACTTTCACCTGTTTTTAATTAGGTCCTTGTATTTATTTTTCTTTTTATCAAGTCCTTATAAGTTTACCTTATTTTTAATTAAGTCCCTAAATTTTTTATTCTTTATTTTATAAATTCTAATGGTACTATTATATAAACATAAAATAGTATATATTATTTAATATTAGTTTATAAACAATAATATTCTAAAGATATTGAATTATTATAATGATTTTAATTTTTTCAGCAAAAAAATTAATTGTTCTAAAAAATTTCCTGAATTAATTAATTCTATTACTTTTTTATTACATAATTATTAATTTAATTTAATTATTAATATTTTATATTTCAGTATTAATCTATTTAATTAATCTTATATTTAATTAATAAATAAAAATTAAAACTACATGGACCTGATTAAAAATTTAGTGAAATTATAAGGACTTAATTAAAAGAAAAATAAATACAATGACCTAATTAAAAAAAGGTAAAAGTATAAGGACCTGATAAAAAGAAAAAAAACTATAGGGACCTGATTCAAAATTCGTTGAAACTATAAGGACTTGCGGATTAATTAACCTTATTTTTTATAAAGGCATATTTGGAAACATAAATATACTTCTAATTTGTTCATTACTTTTAACTGATTTTAACTAATTGTTTGTTATTCGTGAATTAATTATTTAAAACTTATAAAAAGAACCAAAGAGAGTAGTCCCCTTGAAATATATTATTTTTCGCATAATATATTTTACTTAAATACATTTTATTGTCACAAATTTCTGTTGGATAGTCTCTATTATCACAACTGTGGAGGGATTAATTCAAATTAAGACCAAACAATTGGTCAACTTATCCCCCTCAACACGTAAAACATTACAATCCAATTTTGATACGTTGTATTGGTCTAGATGGTGGTAGAATATGAAAACTTCCTTTAGAGTTGATCAAGAAAAATGGCATCAATTTATAAAAAGGATACCCATGCGTCAGGTCACTTAGAATTCCAACCAAAAAATAAAAGGTTAATATAATTTTGTTTCTTGAAATCATGACTTATTTTGGTTTTAGTCCTTCAAATTTTAAACATGTGATTTTAGTCTCTGAAATTAACTCCGTCTTAAAACACTAGTTCCTAGAAATTTAATAATGTTAAAACTTGTTGAAAACGTGAAGTGTCATAAACAGTGTTAAAGTGGTGATATGAGATCTTCAAATGGCACTTAGCTAGATCTTGTGTGAATAACAAGGGGAAAAAAAAGAATAGGTCCTCAAAATGTAACGTCTGAACAATTATACAAAAAGGGATGAGTTCTCAAAACATAATGTAATGAGCAACTCCTCAAATGAACCATAAGGGGAAAAAAAAGGAACTAAACAGTTACGTTTTGAGAAGCTTTCTTTTGTTTTTTTTTTTTCGTTGCAGATTTTAATACCATTACACCTCTAGAAATCAACAATTTAAGGGGCATGGAATGTCTCCATTTCATTTATGGTCCATTTTGCCTCCACTTAGATTAAATGATGTTGTTTAGACTATTAGGAAAATATCGCCCCTCTCACATCACAACATCTTTCTAGTTTCTCCTTCCCAATCAAAAGTTGAAACCAGGCCTCTATAGGTTCTTGCTTCTATGGCTGACAAAGCATCCATATTTGACTAGCATAAGAATTAAAACACCCCAAATAAAAACGAGTAATGAGCATCTAAATGAAATGACCCTGCAATAATGGTAATCTCTGTAACTTTCAGTTCGTAGAGCAGCTTATTGTATGCACAAAAGAAGCCAAATCCCCCATCCGCCGACGACATTGTTGCTTCCCACCCAAGTTGCTCATCAGAAGCTCCTCTATCAACTTCTAGGTCCCGTTTGGTAGGGAGCATTGAAAATGAGGGATTGAGATTGGGATTGCAATTGAAAAAAATCATTAAAATAATACTTAACATGAGTAATTGTTTGTTATATGGGATTAGACAAACTCATAAAGGTGGGATTGGAGAATACCACTTCCTCCCATGGTATTCTCCAATCCCACATACATGGCTTTGGCTAATCCCATATATCAAACAATTTCTTATACTAAACACTCTCTTAATAGATTTTTTCAATTATAATCTCAATCCCAATCCCTCATTTTCAATGCTCCCTGCCAAACGTAACCCTAAGGTATTAAAAGGAATGCTCCAAGGGCCAAGCCAAAAGAGAATCGCCAGCCCAGTAATGGCATCTTTGAAGTAGGAGAAGGCTGGGTATGTCAAAGAAAGAGGTGCTTTCGGAATATTTCCCTAACAATCTAAACGATGTCGTTTGATCTAAGTGGAGGTGAAATGGACCGTAAATGAAATGGAGACATTTTGTGCTGCATTTCAAAACAGACTAAATTTTAGGAACTAAAATCATAGGTTAAAAATTTAAGAGACCCGAATCAAAATAGACTTAAATTTCATGATGAAAAATTATATTAATCTAGAATAAACTTCAATTTCTTAGCCTATGTGGATGACTATGAAACAGTCATGTAATTTTGGCCAAAAAAAAAAAACAATCAAGCTAAACAATGAGACTAGGATAATAAAAAACGCCGTTAAAAAACCTGTAACTACCCTCATAACACACACACCCACCCACAAAGATCTTAGAAATTTGAATGTCATCTGGTTTTCTAGGATAATTACTGACATCTTTTTCATGATGGTTGAGATTTTTAATTAAAAACAACAATATTTACATTGCAAATGACAACACTTTATTGCAAAAATATCCTCAGAACAATTTTGATGCTTGTTTGATATCATTCATGAATGTTATATTTCTAGTTATTAGAGCATCTTTTTATTTTGGTGGCTTTTTGGGCTTTTGCATATATAACCATGAATTTATTTTGTTGGAACCGATGTTGTGATGACTACAAAACTCTAGAAATTTTTTTCTTCTTGGTAATAGAGAAATTTGTTTTTGCAAGGTAAGTATAATTAAATTTTATTTTGTGAAAAATGAAGTTTTAATGGAGTTCATCTAACCTTAAATCAAGTTTATATTTATGGTTCACGCTTTGCTATGTTTTTAAAATTGATTATTCAAAATTGATTTCTTGCTCTCTAAAGTCTAAAACCGATTTTACCTCTTGAGTTTTATGTTAATGCTTGTAAAATCAATTTCCTATGAGTTAAAATCTTACCTGTAATCCATTGTAATGCTTGGTTGCTCTGTTCTGTTTTCCTTTCTCTCACTCAAAATCAATTTCTCCCAAGCTAAAATCGATTTCATGCCTATTCACAGTATCCTCAGTTGGTCGAAATTGATTTTGCCCCTTCTAAAATTGATTTTACCACTCAATTTCCTAGGCATAAAAGTTGATTTTTTCACCTTACCCAAAAAAGGAAAGTTTGATTTCTTCAACATTTTTTCTTTTTTCTTTTTGGCTTATATCCCTTTGAGTAACAGTTTATTCGTATATTATAGACCTCTAAGATCCAATATTACACTTATTTAGTTGAAGAGAAGTGTTTCAACCCAATCAAGTTAACTTTTTGTTAGAGCATTTAATGAAGTGGCTGAAAAGCTAATTACTGAGTAATGGAAAACTAGTTGTGCCTAACAAATAAATATTATCTTCACCATCCTCTAAATAGAAGAATATTTATTGTGATCAAACAATACATTTATCGGTTTGTGCGGATATCCAATAAAAAAACTACGATGCTTTGCTCTATGTTAACTAATTAAGTAGAAACAAGTAATTAAATCTACTTCCATGTTAACTGATCAAAGAAACGTTTTATCAGTTTGGCTTAATATCTATAAGATTTTAGAGGGGCATGTCCAAGTAAGTTAGAACATAATTCAGGCGTGTTGGGTGATTAAAAATTTTAGTAGAAATAAATTAGTCAAAGTATACGTTCAGTGCTCACTTATGAAGGGTAGATAAGTCCCGAAAGGGACAATTTTAATTTTGAAGGACGCTTGGCTCAGCAACAAGGAAATAGATAGTTGGTGAAAAATGGATGAACAGCAAAAATTGATACTGACCCACACGCCTCAATTCGTCCATACGAAGTTTCCATGAAGGTTCTTATGGTAATTCAATATTATAGAAATGACTATTAACTTTTGCCCAAAAACAAAAAAGGAAATGACCATTAACTACTAAATTTCATGAATAA